TAACCAGCCTTATCAACCGAGCCCATTTCCCCAGAACCCCCTAAACCATCCCTGTAGTCTGCCTTGCTCCCTGAACCCCTTACCCTGGGAGCCCCTAAGCCGTCTCTATAACCTGCCTTATCTTCCAACCCCATTTCCCTAGAACCCCCTAAACCATTCCCATAGTCTGCCTTGCTCGCTGAATCCATTCCCCTAGGAGCCCCCAAATCTTTCCTGTACCCTGCATCACCTGCTGACCCCATTTCCCCAGAACCCCCAGTATCATTCCTGCAACCTGCCCCATCTTCCGCTCCCATTCCTCCCATGCCTCCGGAGCCACCGCCCAAGCCTGCCTCGCCCCCTGGCCCTGTCCCCCTAGGCCCAAGGCCCCTGGACCCTCTTCCATAAGACGTTCTGCCCCCAGTTCCCTGAGGCCCTGGAGTCTCTGCCCCAGCCCCAGATCCCAGCACACCGCCAGGCCCACAGGCCCACTGGATCTCAGAACCAGCCCCCGCGTGAGGACCTGGGGCCTCGGCATCGTCCCAATGACCAGTTCCAGCTCCAGAGGCCCTGGCACCAAGGTGCCCGGTCCCACGCCCATCGCCCACCTCTCCCCCGCCCCTCAGAGACCCCGAGTCCATGGCTCCTGGACCCCCAGCGCCATCTTCACAGCCTCCTTCTCTGAAGGCCCCCGAATCTCCAGTCTGACCCCAAGGCCTTGTTCTTCCAGAGCCTCCTGGTTCTGCTTCCACGTGTCCCTCCCTGACAGTCCCCGCTGCTCTGGAGGCCTTGGGACCGCCTCTCCCCCCAGACCCCGCTGTCCCAGGACTCCCTGGTCCACCATCCAAACGGCGCCCTCCCCCAGGGCCCGTTTCCCGCTGGCCTCTGCCCGTATCCCGATTCCTGGCTTCATCCATGGGTGCCCCGCCAGGGCCCCCTGAGCCATCCCCAAGACCGGCACCTGCCCCAGACCCCCTTCCTGCAGGACTGCAGTCGTCTCTGTCTCCAGACCGCCTTCCCCCAGGCACCCCTGAGCCCTGCCTGCAAGCACCCCCTTCCTCAGACTCTGTTCCCACAGGTACCCCAGAGGCAAGTCTACAACCAGCACCGTGACCAGACCCCATTTCTCCAGGCACCCCTGAGCCGTCACTATAACCAGCCCGGTTTTCGAGACCTATTCCTCTAGGCTGTCCTGAGCCACCCCCACGCCTAGATTCCATTCTCCCCGGGCCCCCTAAGCCATCCTCATGGCCCATCTCGCCTCTGCATCCTTTCACTCTGGAGCTCTCTGACCCATTCCAGAAGTCTGGTTCAGACCCTGTTACCCCTGGACCTCTTAATCCTTCTGCATCTCCTCGTGTGCCCCCAGGCCCCTGAGCACCCAGGCCAGGAGACCTAATCAGGCCGTGGCTTCCGGCATCTGCCCCCTGACCGGACTCTATCAGCCCAGCCACCTGGGTACCGCCTGGGCCCCCTTTCCCTCCCCTGGACCCCAGCACTCCGGGCCCACAGTGGGCCCCGGTTTCTCCGGGGCTGGACCACCTGTCATCCCAAGGACCTGTGCTCCCAGACTCTGGTGGGCCGGCGCCCCCTTCTCCCCTATGACCTGCTGCCCAGCCCCAGGAGGACTGGAGGCTTCTGGAGCCTTCCCCTGCCCCACCCAAGGCCCCCACTGTCTCCTGGCCACCCCTTTCCCCCATGCCACCTCGCCCTCTGGGAACGGCCCTTCCTTCTGCATCCTGTGAGCCACCTTTCCAGCCCCTGGGCTCTCCTGGGCCTCCAGGGCCGGTTTCCTGGCCCCTTCCCCCAACTACAGGCTCCCCCCAGCACAGCTCACCTGCCGCCTGCAGGGAGTCCTCCTCGCTGGACTCGGGACCCCTGCTCCCCAAAAGGAATTTTCTACCGCCTGACATTGATGGCTCCTGGAAGTCCCGGCCTCCAGGTGTCTGTCCTGGACACTCCCCTGACCCCCAGGCGCCCCCGGCTTCCCCATGGTCAGCACCTCTGCTCCCACTCGGACCCCAGGGCTCAGGGCCCATGCCCACCTTGGAGCTAGAACCTCTTCCTCCGGGAAACCCCAGGCTGCCAGGACCTCCTGCTCCACTGCTGTTTCCAGCTGCCCCCGGGCCAGGCCTGCTGCCCCACGCTACCCTTGCCACTCCTCTCCCCCTTTCCATGCTCAGATAGTCCCCTCCCTCCATCTCGTCCAGGCTGTCGCCCTGCAAACTGGTCTCCATCTCCTCCCCTTTCGGCCAGGACCCCCCCGCAGGACCAGACTGGGATTCCCGCCTTCCCATCCCAGGTCCCGGCTGAGCATCCCCGAGTCGCGCCCGGCTGTGCCTGTCCAGGTGACCTCCACCGTCTTCTCTGACCTCACTTGCTTCCCAGATGCTCCCCATCCCTCCATCCTGAGGGCCACTGGACCCAGCCTCCCAGCCCCCTGCTGTCCCCCAGCATGTGTCCCCACCGCTGTCTCTGCCATGACCTTGCTGCTGTTCTTCCACGAGGCCCAGCCCTGGCCCCGGGCCCTCTCCCTGCAGACGGGGCCTCCCTTGAAGGCTTCCGGCCCCACCTCCCTCGCTGTGGGGCTGATTGTCCCCAGGAGGAGCGCCTCTGCCTCCCTCTGCCTCTAGAAAGCCCTTTCTCTCCTGCCCGGGGCCCCAGCCTGAGCGAGCTGCCCCTTCGTCCTCCATCAGGGAGTGTCCGAGCCTGCCCAGGCCGGCCCTGTCGGGGCCGGAGACCCCCAGGAGCCCAGACGCCAGCTCAGCCCCCTCCAGGGAGCCCCGCCTGGGGTCCTGCTCTCTGCACTTCCCTCCCTGGCTACCGACGGCCCCGGAGTCTTCCGCTTCCGAGGCCGGGGCCCCTTGCCCTTGCAGCTGGCCGTCTGCACCGGCGGTCTGGAGGCCTTTGTCCTTCCCGGCTTCGGTGAGGAGGTCAGTGCCCCGCAGAGAGATAAGAGAAAAGACCAAAACTCCTGTTAAATCAGGCCAGAGCGCCTGCCTGCCCCCGCCTCCCCCGTGGAGAAGCACGCTGACACCGGGAAGGAAGCCAGGGTGTCCTGCACACGGATGGATAGACCCCCCCATCCCCACCCCAGCCCTGCACCCACGGGCCCCCTGCTACAGGGTTCATGAGGATCTGGGAGAAAACACACAAGAAAAAGTCATTTGCTTATCAGTCTGGCACAGCGGGCACGTGGTTATAAACAGCTCAACTTGCCCTGTGACCCGCCTTGCGTGTGTCCAATATGCAGCGTCCTGGGAACCTCAGGAACCCAAATCCCAACCCCAGCAGGGGCCTAAGGGGGTGCTCCCTGGCCTGGCCCAGGGGCTTCTCCTCCACACTGAGCCCGGCCACTGACCCTAGGCTGTCCAGGACCGTGGCGCCATCTTGGGTCTGTGCCCCAGAGTGGTTAATTCCAAGAGCCCCAGTGAGGCAGGTGCAGAGGGGAGGCAGGCTGGCCGTGGGGGGTCCACACTGCAGCGGACCAGGGTAGACCTAAGCAGCCCCCCACATTCTCTCAGAACAAGCGGGGGCGTCATTCCAGAGCAGGCGACTGAAGGAAGGCAGCCCCGTTCTCCCGGCCCTCGTCACGCCTCCCTGGCCCTGAGCTCCCGCCCTGGGGGAGGCAGGGAAGGACACAGGTGCGGGCCACTCACCTTCCACCACCAGCCAGGCGCTGGAGGCATGGACCCCGGTGCCCAGTGAATAGAGGCCCATGTCTGAGAAGCGGGCGCCCCTCACCACCAGCCGGTGGGTCAGCCCGTCGGGGGACACAGACACTTCGAATCTGTCACCGGGCTGGAGCGGCCGGTGCCGGAACTGCCAGGCGGCGCCGGGGCAGGGGCGGGAGAGGGTGCATTCGAAGACCGCGTCGCCCTGCTCCTCGCAGTGAGCCTCGGCCAGCGGGACCACCACTCTGGCAGGGATGGCTGCGGGGAGGCGGGAATGGGGGTGTCAGTCCGACAGCACGACCCAGTGTGGCCTGACATGGCGGGGGGCTGGGAGCTCAGCCCGTGTCCCTTTGGACGGGCCACCTCCCTGCCCAGGCGTCTGTCCCCCCGACATAAAATGAAGTGATAAAATTAGCGTATGATCCATGAGGCCACCACGTTCAGCTCTGGGATTCTGTCATTCTAAACCCAGAGGTCATACCTGCGGGCAGGTAGGTACATGGAGGAAACCCAAGAGCTTCGTGCATGCGACGTACCATCTGATTAAGCCTGTGACTATCTCCGAGGCAGGTGTTATTAACTCCCTTCTACAGGTGAGGAAGCTGGCACTTAGAAGTTAAATGACCTGCCCTAGTCCTATGCAGCGAGGAGAAATCAGGATTCGCACCCAGGTCCGGCTGATCCCCCGGGGCCAAGCTCCCCGCCCCAAGCCACGCTGTTCTCAGGCTTGCAAAGCCCAACCGGGTGCCGAGGCCCGCTGGGACGCATCTCCCTCTTCTCTCGTCCTCAACCGCGACTCAGCCCTGCTCATTGTCACATCTCTGCCCCAAACTTCCTTCCCCACGCCCGGCCTCCCTTGTCCTTCTGAGAAGCCCCTCGAGCTGTCAGGTGCTCTGGGGGTGCGAGACAGAGTTTGATGGGGACGCAAGGGCAGTTCCCAGAAGGACGCAGGGAGCAGGGAAGGAGAAGGTCTGCACAGGGCTCACATGTGCCTAACCCGGGTGGAGATTCTTGCCTTGGAGTGGCAGGAGTCGGGGACACGCAGCAGACAGGGGTGAGGTTGTGGCTAGAGGCTGTGCGGCGAGTTTGGATCTGATCTGAAAATAACTGGTTGCTGCAGAGGGTACGTGAGCACAGGCACCACACGAATGTCCTACGTCTGTGACTGTCACTCAGCAGAGCCCAGCTCAGCACCAAGAGAAGACAGAACTTGGACCACGGCTTTTGGAAAACAGAGCACACCGTGCCCCTCTGGGTGCGCATGCCTCTCCCAGGAGTCTTTGCAGCAGGGAGCCGCGGCACCTTTACCCGCACACCCTGCACCGGCACGGACCCCATCCTAACAGATCTCCCGAGCCCGAACTTCTGCAGCGAAGACCGCTCACCACCGGCCTCCAGCTCCGTGGAGAAGACGACGGTATCCTCCACCTTGACCTGGTAAATGCCGGAGTCCTCGGGCCTCAGGTCCTGGATTAGGAAGTGGTAGCGCTTCCCCAGCCGGCGCAGGCAGTGCTTGGTCAGGTTGTCGAAGCCATAGGGGACCATCTCCCCGTCCTGAGGCCAGGAAAAGGAAGAGGGCCGGCTCAGGGTCTCCGCGGGTCCCCAGCGCTTCCTGCCCCAATCCCACTCGGCTGCAACCAGCAGTTTCCCCACCGGCCCAGGCACCGGACAACGTATTCCTAGAACAGTAAAGGTGAGGGGACAGGGGACAGCACGGCGGCTGGGACTGAGAGGCAGGTGGGACACATGCTCCAGAACATTCATGACTCTTAGTGAAAGCCTGCAAGTGTCACGCAAAGAGGCACCTCAGCCTGCAAAGATTCCAGCTCAGGCTGCGAGTAGAGCTGGTACCCAGCAGCCCTGCGAGGTTGGCAAGGTGGGGGCTGGTCAGGGGGCCAAAACCAATGCCCAGGGTCCCCTGGCCCCAGCACATTTATTCACCGAGGGGGATTTCAGAGAATGCCATCAGATATCTTTAAGGCTCTACCAAGCCCAGCAATCTATAGGCACACCCACTTCAACCAAGCCCTGGATAGAGCTGCTGCTTGCCGAGTAGGAAGGACAGTTAACACGTGTTAGGTGCCTGCTGTGTGCCAGGCACTGTTAGGTACTCGGGAGCAAGAACCAGAGCTGGGGGGGAGAGGGGAGGGGTGTTATGGGGTCCAGAAGTGCCAGGACGGGGCTGAGGAAGCAGCGGCTCCACGCAGTGGTTGGGGGAGCCTCGCTGCTGCAGGGAACTAGCCTGTGGGTGCGGGAAGAGCACGCCAGGCAGAGGGGACAGCCGGAGCAAAGCACCAGGGACCAGGTCAGCGTGGCAGGGGGAAGAGCAGCAGCAGGTGTGAGCAGAAGGGAGGGGAGGAGCGAATCGTGCCTTCTCTCGAGTGGCATTTCAATACACGGTGAGACAGGTCACAAATGAGGAAACTGAGGCACCGGAAGGTAAGCATCTTGTCTGAAGTCGCACAGCTTGTGTTTGGCCACAGAAGCAGCGGTAAGCTTTGCTGCTCCCTGTCCTTCCTCCCCAGCCGCCAATACCTGTCCCTGTCCCCACCTGGAGCCCATGCAGGGATGTGTCAAGTCTCTGGAGAGGGAGCTCAGATAGAAGGGGGTGCACTTTCTCAGGACCCTCTTTGCACCCCTGTGCCCTGGCATTAGCCCCAGCTGGAGGCCTGCTTGCTCAATGCGAGGCAAAAGGTCCCTGGGGACTGTGGACGACAGGATTCGACCCAACTCTAGCCAGTAACTCCACGAGACGAGGGGCTCAAGACCTGTGTGCCCTGGTCCCCCGTCCCCAGGACCTGCAGCATCCTTGCCTGACCCCCCCACTCAAGGCCCCTCCGGCCTCACCTTATACAAGTAAATCTTGCTCTCGCAGTCCTTGAGATCCAGCTCCAGGTCAAAGGTTGCGACCCCCTCCTTGGTGACCCTGATGTGTCTCAAGTTGGAGATGGCGTTGATGTACTAAAGGACAGACAAACCCCCCAGGGGAGTGCTTGGAGCCCTCTCTTCCGGGCACTCCAAACCCTCGCAGGCCCTGGTACCAAGCCAGGCCCACAGTGTCCCCGTGAGCATGCACTGGCCATTGCACAGTGGGGACAAGTCAGCCCCTGGGGGAAAGAAATCATCCGGAATGACAGAGGTCAGTTCGGGAAGGCGACCGAGAAAAGCGTCCAGGTGCTCCAAGAACACGGCAGAGCTTTTCCATCCACCCGTCCTTCCGTCTAATAAACATTAGCTGAGCACCGACTGCGTGGGAAGCTCTGTGGCAAAGCAGACGAGGAAGCCTGGGGAAGGCAAAGCCGAGGCCCCAGGTGAGACGTGTGAGGAACCACCTTCGAGGTAATAAAATACTACTTCCAGGATAACGAAAACTAGTTGTTTTCCATTTCTAGAAGAAAAATTCGACTCATGCTCCAGTTAAGTTAGACAGAGGAAAGAAGTTCCGGTGTAGTTTATAAGACTCTGGAACTGTGCAATTCCCTTTCCTGGCAAGCTTCAAAAATCAGACAGGCATCCTGCATCTGGTGATGATGAGGAGGATGCTGACGGCTGACCCAAGCCCTCACCACGTGCCAGGCACCTGGCTGAGCGCTCTCAGTACATTCTCTCATCCATCCTCCCAATAACCCTACGAGGCAGGTATAAGTCTTAATATCATCCCCAGTTTACAGATGAAGAAACCGAGACACGGAGGCCCTCACTTTTCCAAAGCCCCAGAATTTAGTAAGTTATCAGAGCCAGGTTTCAAAGCCAGGACACCAACCTGGAAGCCCAGAATCTTAGCCCCACTGCGGACTAGCCAGAGACGAGCCCCTTGACTGCACTTGATTTCCCGAGGCCTGCCTCCGAGCAGCTCCAGGTGTGTGGCACCTGTGCTCCAGGTGTCTGGGGTGGGGGCGAGGGGCAGGTACCTGTGCCATCTTGTCCTCCTGCTCCTTCTTCATCTCCTGCAGCTTGCGCAGCATGCCCCGGAAGTCGACGATGCCGTACTTCATGCAGATCTGCTCGTAGTCCTTCCGGTCTGCTGTCATGAGCAGCTGCCACACCTGCTCAAGGTCCACCTTTTTCTCGGGGGCTGGTGGGGCCCTGGGGAGCAGGGCCAGCAGGTCAGAGGCCAGAGGAGCCCCCAGGCCAGAGTTGGCCACCTGGCTCTGGCTCCCTGAAAAGCCCTGGGAAGCTGCTCTGTCTGTACTTGAGAAAACAGCCCCAGAGCCTGGAATCTCTGGGACTAGAAGGACCCAGAGATTGGCGGGGTGAGCCTCACCCCACAGCTCCGGCTTCCTGGAGAAACTCTGCTCCTAATGTCTTGTATTGCAATTTCCTGCACACAATGTCTGGGGGAAGGAGGGGTGGGGTTGAATTGTGCTTTTGCTCTAAAAAAATTTTAGATCATTGTTCTAGTGGGACACCCCATTTTGCAAATGACGAAATCAGGACCCAGAGAGGAGAGACGATTAACTCAAGAATATAGAGCATTCAGGTGGTGAAGCTGGATCTAGAGAGACAGGTTCAGGGCTCTTCCCACCCTCCCGTCCGCTGTGGGCAGTCTGCCTCCCGAGTGCTGGGTGGAGGGGGCTCAGCCAGCTTGCTCATGGAAACAGCGGGGTGTGGGGGGTACCATGGGAGCCTCCAAAATCCCCACGGACAGACCCAGGCCCACCTCTTTTTCAGCAACTTCCGGAAGTCCATCAGCTCCTTCCTGAGGTCTGGAAAAGGAACAGGAGTGAGGCGCAGACCCAGGGGGACGGCTGGGAGCTGGCGCAGGGCTCCTCCACGTGGGCCCTGCTGCCACTTGAGCCCCTGAGGGCGGCTCCCCTGCACGCTGGGGACAACCCGCCAGGTGCATGGAGGTGTGGCCGGGTGGGGAACGCCAGACAACGGGTGGCGGGTCCCCCCCTCCCAAGGCCCCAAGGAGGTTTCTGACAAATCCACCTACCCTCCTGGGGTTCCTTTTGCCTCTTCCGTTTCTTCCGGAAGCCAACTGGGTTGTCCAGGGAGGAGAGAAAGGAGTTGGTGTGGGTAGGCAGGGCGAGAGGCGAGACACAGCGGTGATGTTCCTGAGAAACCGACCAGGTCCCAGAGCCCTGCCCTCCCGCTGTCCTCTGAGGCACGGCCTGTCCCAGCCAGAGGAGTGCAGCAGGGTGGACGGGTCCGACTCTCGTAAGCTCTGACACCCCAGAGCCCACCATGACCATGGGAACCCACCCGAGCATCCCTGCGTGCAGGGAAGGCCCGGTCCCACGTCCCCGGGGCCAGGGAGGGGGCAGAACTGAGCGGAGCGGACTCGGGTGCCCACAAGCTGTGTTTAAGGGGCAGCTGCTCTTGCAGTCCACCTGGGACCCGCCATTTCAGGGCATAGACCGAATACTGCCAGACAGGCCCGCCCTGCTGCTTGGCTGACTCTGCGGCCATTCGTGTCCTCTTCTTCGTCCTCTGCTTCCACCAGGGAGGCCGGGAAGGCTGAATACTTGCCCCCCCCCACTGCCCTTGTCCCCAGCGGTGGCTGCATGACCCGGCTCTGACCAGCGAGCCCCAGCAAAGGAGCGTTTGTTTCCTTGACAACCGGGGCGTATGGACCCGGACCCTCTCCCCCTTCCCGCCTTGAGCAGGGATTAAGTTTGGATCTGCGGCAGGCGCCCCATGACTATGACTTGGTAAACAACCTGCTGTGGGCGGCAGAGCAGTGACACAGACGGAAACCGGCGGCCCTCAGCTGCGGCATGAGCCCTGGACGCCCAGCTCGCTAATGTGAAGCAGTTAAACATCTTTATTTCTCGGGCGGCTCTTAGGAGGATTTTCTGCTAGGTGGGGGCAAGCCGACTGTAACACAACCAGCGGAGACACTGGGCCTGCTTCCTCGCGGGACGGCAGCCTTGCATCATTACAAGTCGAAGATTAACTCTGAACATTTCAAACACCGTGCAGATCAAACTGAACTTGTCTGAGAGAGGATTTGGCCCTCGTGTTACCCGTCACCTCTGGCATAGGCCTGTCTACAAAACGTCCTTTGCGGCCGGGCGCGGTGGCTCACACCTGCAATCCTAGCACTCTGGGAGGCCGAGGTGGGAGGATCGCTCAAGGTCAGGAGTTCGAGACCAGCCTGAGCAAGAGCGAGACCCCCGTCTCTACTAAAAATAGTAAGAAATTAACTGGCCAACTAAAAAATATATAGAAAAAATGAGCCGGGCATGGTGGCGCACACCTGTAGTACCAGCCACTTGGGAGGTTGAGGCAGGAGGATCGCTTGAGCCCAGGAGTCTGAGGTTGCCGTGAGCTAGGCTGACGCCACGGCACTCACTCTAGCCTGGGCAATAGAGTGAGACTGTCTCAAAAAAAGAAAAAAAAAAGTCCTTTGCACAGTGGGGAAACTGAGGCTCAGAGAGGCGAGCAAAGCCCACGGATGCGTTGGCGGGCTCCGGGTCCTGCCCTTGTTCCCCAGGGAGGCGAGAACGTCCTACGGAGCGCCTGCCGCAGGGCGGCTGCTGAGCCTCGCCTTTCTAGTCTCGCGTAGGTCTGGGGTGCCAGGGGCTGAAGGCGCAAGGCCAAGGCGGCGGCAGCCTTGGGGGCCTCCCTTTCCTCCCTCCCTCCCCTGCCCCCCAGCCCCAGGGCTTCGGGTTCCTCCCAGGGTGCTTTGGGAGGAAGCCGCTGGAGTGCACGAGTGCACGGCTGGGGGGTGGGAGGAGGGGCTGGGGGGGGGCGGGGGGGGCGGGAAGCCCACCTTCGATGACGGTGAGTCTCGCCGAGCACGCGGCCTCCCCGTAGGCGTTCGCGGCCGTGCAGCGGTACAGGCCCGAGTCCTCGCCCGTCAGCTTGGTGATCTGCAGGGAGGCCACGGGCGGGGGACAGGGCTGGCACGCCCCTTCCTCCGTTTCCCAGACACGGCCACGTGCCGGGTATAAGGCGGGCAGGGCATGGTCCTTGTCCTCACGGGGCTCGCCGTGGTCTTTACCAGGAAAGACAGACCCCGCGGCAAAATCCTGGGTCCGCACGGAGGGGCCTGGCCCCCGCCAGCGCAGGCAGTGTGGTGTAGCGGGGAGCGGTCACTGCTGGCGCTCGGACGGATCGGGGACTGAACACGCCTCTGTCACGTGTGGCTACATGTGGGACCTTGCGCACGTTACCGAACCTCTCTAAACTTTGTGTCTTCTTCATTTGTAAGGTGGGGGTAATAACACCTGAGAAAGTAGGGGATGGTCGGGATTGAATCACATAGTCTATGTCGGAAGTTCGGGCCGGGGCCTGGCTCGTGGTGGGCGTTCCATGGTCGGTATGTGCGATATCACTAATAGTGACCGGGATTCATTAAACCTTTAATTCTCATAACAACTCCTTCATGTAGGTTCTAGCATTGCCCCATTTTACAGATGAGGACACAGAGGCAGAAAGAGGGCAGTGGCTAGAAAGGAGGCGGGTCTAGGCCTGTGACCCAGGCAGCGTGACTCCACAGCTCGAGCTCTCCAGCTGCGGTCTACACCACCTGCCGGGTCATCGGCGGAGGTGTCTGGGAGCCTGCTGGAGCCACTCCTGGCTCAGGCAATGGAGCCACGGGATGGAGCTGAATGGACAGAACTTCAGCTGGGAGCATCTCTCACTCCTTGGGGGACTGGAGGCCACCAAGGAGACCTCCAAGGGGACGGGAGGAGATGGGTAGACCCCGGTCAAGGGAGGAGCTACGTTCTCACCTGCAGCACGTGCTCCTTGCCGCCGGGGGCGGAGGAGATCTGGAACTTGCTGGAATTGCTGAGGTCACCTTTGCTGCTCTGCCAGCGAACCTCGGGCCTGGGCTCCCCGCAGACCACAGCCCGAAAGACGGCGTTTTTCCCTGTGGCGGCGGGGAGAGGCAGAGGGGGAGACTGCAAGGTTGGGGGAGGGTGACAGTGTGCTCCCCTGAGATTCTAATGAATGCCGCCCCTGCTCTAGGTATTCCAACTGCCCATTGCAAGAAGGGGCCAGGCCTTGGTCGCCTTGACTCAGGACTCAGGTGGACAGCAGCCGACCCCAGGCACCCGGAAGAGAGTCCCTGCCTGCTCTTGTACTGGAAGCCCAGGCTCCGTGACAGCCAGACGCAGCTGGACTGTCCCTGGTGACAAAGGGCGGCCAGTAGGGCTTGGGTGGGAGGGGGCGTTTCCTTGAGAGTGGGTGGCCGGGGACTCCGAAGGATTCTCCCGAGACTGGGCAGGGGATGTGATTGTGTGGGTTCCAAGTCTACCCTTAGGGGAAAGAGGAATGACAACCTGGGAGGGAAGGGCTGTCTGGTGCTCGCAGGAGCTGGTCCTGGGCTCCCACCCGTGGAAAGCCCCAGCTCCAGGCCGGGAGGGAGCCCGGGAGCTATCCCGCTGCAGCAGCCCCCCCCCTCCCCGGCTTCCCACGAGGAGCATCTCAGCGCAGAGCTGCATGGACCGAAAGCCCAAGGGCCCTCCCCAGTTTCTCACGACCTTGCTCCAGATTTAGAGAAATAAAGTGCCCGAATGTTGTGCACAAAAATTCCTGGCAGGGGTCCGTGCTGGGCAGGGAGAACACCGATGCCCACCCCTTTCCCAACAAGCCTTCATCCCCACCACGTTCCTGGTCACTTTGCTTACGTGGCCTTTTAGAATGGCCTTCCTGAGCCCCGTCTGTGGGCCACTGGGGGTGGGCAAGTCTTGGGAGGAGGCAGGACCAACTGGCTCTGACAGCGCCCCCCTCTCTGCAGCGGCTTTGAGGCCGGGAGAGGGGAGAGGGGGACCAGGACACACCCCAGTTCAGCGCTTCCCCAGCCCTGTCCCCAGATGTTTCTCACATCAGCGGAACCTGGCACGTGGCATCTCTCCACTGCCTCCACCCCTCCCTCTCCCCGGCCCCTTGTCCTTGCAAGGGAGCCAGGCAGGCGGCCCCGCCCAAGCACAGGGGGAGACAAGACAGGGCCCGGTGGTGGACGCAGGGACCGCGGCCCACACCCTGTCCACGGCGCCTGCTGGCAGGCGAGAGAGCACGGCAGGTCCCCGCTGGGCGCTCACCCTCCTGCAGCGCCAAGGTGACGGGCTTCTGCTCGAAGTCCGGCGTGCTGCAGCCCTCGGGGACCTCCTCCGCCAGCTGCCGGATGCTCACCCCCGGGAGGGAGGACTTCCTCCAGGGCTTCCCTGGCGAAGGCAGGAGAGAGGGAGATGGGTCCTTCCCCTCCTCCCTCTGGGGTGGCCCTTCACCTCATCCCCCAAGAAGAAAGATCCCCCTCCTCTGTCTGAGGCCGGGCAGGGCTGCCCGCCCTACCTCCTGCCCGTGGGTGCTGCTTTTGAATTCTCTAGTGTGCTCTGGCCGTGGCCTCCGCAGTGTAAACAGAGCCCCTGTGAAGTGGGGAGGCCCCCCACCCGGGAAGACCCTGGGCCGCCCCTGGGGAAAAGCTGGGGAGGGAAGAGGGTCCCCTCAGGAAGCAGGAGCTGTGTGGGGGCTCTGCACCTCCACTGGGGAAAACAAATCGAAACCCAAAGCCAAACTTTAAAAAAACGAGAGAGAGAGAGATCCTTCTGCTCCACCCTGGGTTAGGCAGGGAGGTTGGTTCTTCAAGCCTCACCTGCCATGGCTCTACCTCCTCCCTGGCTCCTCCGAGGATGAAACGGATCTCCTGAGAACGGAAGACAGAACTGCTCGTGTGGGGTCCAGTCTGGCCTCGCCGCACCTGTCCCCACCACCAGAGCCCCCACCGCTCTCTGGGTGGGACCCGGGAGAAGCTGCTGCCCCAGGGGGCCGTCTGACCCCAGGAATGGCAGTGGTTGGTCTCCTGCCATCCCCTGGCCCCAGCAGACCAGTTTCCGGGAGACCAGGGAGGGGCAGGGTGCTGCCCAGCTGGTGCCTTCCCAGGTAAAGGGGACCGTGAGGCTGAGCCTGCCCGCTACGCTGGTGGCCCGGCCCCCAGGAGGGACCCGGGGTCTGTCAGCCACTCCGAGGGGGAGACAGGGCCTTCCCAAGCCAGAGGACATCAGACTCAGCCAGGACCCTGCAGCTGTGTGACAGCCTCGCCCCCTTGACTTGGGAACGTGAATTCTCCCGGGACCTGAGCTGGGCCTCCTGGCTCCTGCTCCAACGCTGGGACCTCCCGGCCGGGCCCGGTGTCCCCCCACCTCCCACGCTCCCCAATCTGGAACCCTTCGGATCACAAGGTCACAAGGTCGGCAGGGAGAGTCCTCGACTTGGCTGCTCTTTAGCTCGGCCCTGCCCAGGCCGATGGGTCCCCATAAATCCATCTGCTCCCCTTTGAAGCCGGTGAGTTATAGCGCCAGGCGGGCGGGCTTGTGTTCCAGCCTCTCCCAACCGCCACCGCCGTCTCCCCGCCATTCCCCCCTCAAAGGCATCCATCTGCCACGGCCGGCGGGGGTCCCCCACGGGGGAGGCCCTGAGGTGGGACGGGAGCCATAAATTGGGGGGCAGGTGGTCCTGAAGGAATTCTCCAGCAATCCCACCTCCCGTGCGCCTGGCGCACAGCCAAGCGGTTCCATCTTGGGGACTCCGTTTCCTGCCCGAAGAGCCCTGTTATTAATATAGAACCGCGCATGACAGGGCAGATTCCTGCCTCCGACTGAGGCTCCTCCGTTTCCCAACTGCACACCCCCCCTGGCACTCCTGGCCCCTGACGTCCCCTCTGCAGCCCGGACTCGGCCCCCTGGTGCGCCGGAATGCCGCGGGGCGCCAACCGCGTTCTGGAGCGGTCAGGGCGCTGTGCCTCGGGGGTCACGTGGGCAGGAGGAGAGGGAAGACAGCCACCAGTGGGGGGCCACCACTGGCCATGGTGGAGGGGGCTGCAGAGACCTCTTCCGCTCCCCACCACAGTCTCCTGGGAGAGGCGAGCGCAGCGCCCGTCTGCGACCCCCACTCTGGAGGAGTTTGAGTTGCACACAGCTATCTCAGCCATCATCTTTGTCATTGTCCCCACCATCGGCACCACCAGCTGTCGGTCAACTACCCAGCTCTCCGCCACACAGGAAGAAGTATAACGCTAGCTGGTGCCACTCTGCCCCCTCCGGCCCCCTGTCCCCAGGTCCCAGCTGAGGACGAGAGGGAAGCAGAACCCTTCAGGGAGCTTAGGGTCCAGGTGAAACCAGCTCACCCCCTGCACCTCCATGCTCTTCAGAAATAAGCCAGATTTGGAGCAAGGTCAATGACAAATGGGTCAGGACCTGTTTGGTTGGAGACTAGAGAGATGGGGTCTCCATGGCAGGGCATGGGGGGAGGGGGGAGTGAATTCCCTCCTCCGAGGTGCATTCCCACCTTCTTCCCAGCACCAGACGGCGGCCCATGTCCTCTCTCAGCTCTCCCAACGAGACTCTGAGCCCTGGCCTCTCCTGGACTCACATCCCCCAACCCTCGGCCCCCACCTGCAACCACAGGTGGATCCATCCTGCAGATCCAACTCCTGCTACCTGCACCTTCTTAACTGGCAGGCTTGGAAGCACGGAAAGCCACATGGGGTTTCTCTCTACTGCTTTGACCACGTTATTAGCATAACGAGTCCCAGCCCTGAGGTCCTTATTCTGGACTGCTGGTGGTGGTGATATTTTTAATCTGGTCACCGTGTCACACTCTAAGTTCAGCAGCGCCCAGAAAATCAGAGCCAAGACAGAACCATCCAGACGAGACTCACTGAAATTCTCTCCTGCAGATGCCCTGGAGCCATCTAGAGCGGACACAGATGCACCCCAGGGTGAGGTCACTGGCCAGGCGAGCTCCCCAGGCTGACCTCACACCCAAGGCCACCCCCTCCTGAGTCGGAACGGCTGAGAGCAGCCCGTGTCTCTATCTCAGCCCTGCCCTGGGCCGGGTGGGCGGCCAGGTGGGCAGCACCCGCTTACCTGGGCGCACAGCCGGCCTCCTGCCTCCCGTCCGTCTGCTCCCTCCTCCCTGCGTCCAGCTGCCGCGTGCAGCCAGGCGCTCCGGGAAGACTGTGGCAGGACAGGCAGGGCTGCAGCAGGTGTCCGCAGCTCCCTCCGCCCCTCCCACTCACCCCGCCTGCCTCCTCCTCCTCCAGGCTGGGCTTGGCAGGGCAGGGTCCCCCAGGGCTAACACCCCGGCCTCGGAGGGCAGAGACGGAGGGTCCTGTGACACCAGCCCATCCAACTCCTCCTTTTGCAGAGCTTTAAGCTCTCAACCAGACTGGCTTCGGGCGAGTTTGTTCCCTGATGCCTCATTTGTGTGGCCCCTTTCAGCAAGGGCATTTTCACCACCCAAAGCCTTACCTTTTCAGCTAAGCCGGTCCCTTGAGACCTGTGAGACCGTGAGTCCCGCAGATACATAAAGCTGCTGGGAACCAGACCTCGAAGTGGTATCAAACGGGCAACGAAGTCCAGACGCTGGCCACAGACCTAGGCCCCGCCGAGAGCGGCCAGGAAGGAGGAGAGCCTGGGTAGCCAGGAGGGCTTCTGGAGGAGTGGGCTTGCCCAGGAGCTTCTTGAAGGACAGAACAGGGGACCTGAGCAGCCGGGGCGGGGGCTGCCGTTGGCAGGACAGGCGGGCGGGTGTTTGAGGATGTGTGGATGGAAGGTGGAAGTCGGGAAACAGGATGGCTGGTTACGGATTTTCTTTAGGAGAGTGGAGGGCAGGGGCACCCAGGAGATAAGGCCACCTGTTCTGCTTTGGAAGAGCCACCTGCTCTCTCCCTAACGACAGAAAGCTGGTTTGTCGCCACCAATAAGCAAGGCTTGATTGAGGATCCAGGTGAAGGAGAAGGAAATGGGGCTGACTTCCTGCAAGGGGAGGGCACTGAACATGTGCACACACTCGTCAGCACCGTGCCAGTCCTACAGCAGCTGCCCCTGCATGTGCTCTGAGACGGAAGGGGTTTGACCTCCTAGGCTCAAGCGTGTGTGTGCACATGTGTGTGCATGTGTGTGCATGTGCGCGTGTGCATGTGTGTGCACGTCTGCGTGTGCATCTGTGTGTGTGTGTGCGTGTGTGCATCTGTGTGTCCTCCCTGTGCGGTTCTCAGTGTCAGAGACTGATCCTTCATTTATTCAACAAATACTGTGTTTCCCCAAAAACAAGACAGGGTCCTATATTTATTTTTCCTCAAGAAGACACCCTAGGACTTATTTTTAGGGGATGTGTTATTTTTTTTTTAAGTACGGTACAACCATCTACATTTATTCAAATATAGTGAAGTCGTCTTCCTCTGGAACATCATCATCACTCTCCAAACCCCGAATTCCATCCTGAATGTCTTGCGACTCTATTTCCTTTAGAACCACTGGCCCCGATCTCTCCTGTCAAGCCATAGGGCTCTCATGGGGCAGATGAGAAGGGCTGCTCGTCTTCTTTCCCGCTCCGCGACGACACGCATGGGTTGTGCAGATGCGCTGTGTAGCCACGCCCGTCACTAGGGCTTATTTTCGGGGTAGGGCTTCTCTATTGTGCAAATGCTTAGAAATCCTGCTAGGGCTTATTTCATGGGTAGGTCTTACTTTCGGGGAAACACAGTATGTGTTGAACACCTGCTCTGTGTTAAGCCCGGGGAATACAAAGGCCACAATGGCAGGGCCCTCCCCGCGTGAGGCTTACAGTCGAGAGAGACAGACAGATGTACATATCTGGTCACACGCTGTGATGCAGGCTCCAAAGAAGCCACAGCTTAGAGAGTGAGGGAACAGCTGTGTGTGGGAGGGTTTGGACAGGTGGGCTCTGCAGGCCATTGAAGAGTTTTGATCTCTTTGTAAGGGCCACTGAGGTTTGCTTAAGCTGAAGGAGTGATGGGATCCAGTTTTGCATTTTTAAAAGACTCATGCTGTGGGAATAGTGGCTCATGCCTGTAATCCCAGCACTTTGGGAGGCCAAGGTGGGAGGATTGCTTGAGGCCAGGAGTTTGAGACCGACCGGACAGCATAGTAAGACCCCATCTCTACAAAACATGTTTCAAAATTAGCTCAGCATGGTAGTGTGCCTGTAGTCCCAGCTACTTGGGGGGAGGGGCTGAGGCAGGAGGATCACTTGAGCCAGGAGTTCGAGGTTACAATGAGCTATGATTGCACCCCTGCACTCCAGCCTGGGCGGCAGAGTGAGACCTGCCTCAAAACAGAAAAACAAAACAAAACAAATACCCTCATTCTGGCTGCAGGGAGAAGGGATTGAAGGAGGAAATGAGAGGCGGGCACTTAGCTCCCAGGAGGGCAATCAAATAACGCCAAGGTGTTCTTTCTCGCAGTGGGCCTGGGCTCCAAGCGACCTCCTGAGCCACAGTGCTGCATCCCGGGAGGGGAGGGAGGAGGATGGGACATGGCCCAACCCAGAGCCCTGCAGCATTTTAGGGGCCTTCGTTGCCTATTTCCCCCCACCCCAGGGTGGCTGATGAGCTCCTTCCTGAGGCCTGGGGACAGCCAATAGAGCCGTGAGTCAGGGTGTCCATGACGCCGGCCGCTATTTCCCGTGTTTGAAGAGCAGCTTACATGGGGGGGCCTCTCTTCTCTGCGCCACGGATCATACTGGGACCCCTCTCATTGCAATGAGATGGAGACTTCAGGACCCCGAGGGACTGAGATGGGTCAAATGGTTTTCCACACCCTCCCCCTTTTTTCTCTACCAGTAACGCCTAAGAATATTGAGCTATGTCCGGATGTCCAGGCATCCACCCCACTTCCCGCGCTATAACCTTATTATACCTCCTAATGGACTTTGTGTTTGGGAGACAAAGAAACAAGACCTGCCGTCCCTGATGGGGTATACCCGCGTCTAAAGAGCCTGGGCAGGGGGTTTGTGGACGTGGTTCATTTTTCCTCAGGGCCTTACCGGGAGGGCTCGGCAACTTTGGGGTGGGGAACGGCCACGATCTATGAATGCTCTCTTGTCTCCACGAGAGGAAAATCCATCCTATGTGGCAGGTGCCACGAGGTTCAGACCGCGTGAAGGCCTCCCTCTCGGGGACCCTCCTGGGGACACGGCGTGAGCTGGACGAGATGCTCTCCGAGGTCCTGGCACCTTCAACATCCCACGGCCCTGTGACCTGCTGAGCGGGCAGGGCACACTGTGGACTGCAGAAGCCAGGTGATTCCGTGTGGCTCGAGAGCGAGTTCGAATTCATCCGCAGGCTGCCATGGCCTCGATGTCCTGGTGTGAACATGGTTCTGCCCCGGAGGCGTGAGCCGCTGGACAGGGTCTCACGGGACAGGGTCTTTTCTCATCCCCGCTGGGGTCCAGGAAGACGGGTTGGGAGAGCCGGGTTCTAACCAACGTCATGCAAACACACACACGTACGCCCGCACCATGCCACGGGCATTCCCATGAAAGGTGGAAGACCACGTGCCGGCCCGAGGGGATGGCTGCAGGGATTTGGGCTCTTTTCTGGGCCTGGGGCTGGGGCACAGGATTCCACGTTCAGCGCGTGTTACCAGGAAGACGGGGCTTCGAGGGCTGGCGGGGCAGACGCCCCCTCCCCGTGCGTCACGCCAGTACCGCTGGCCGCCATGCGGCTGCCCTCCAGTCTGTGCCCCAGCTGCCCGTCTGGCCCACGGGGCAGTCGAGTCGGGCCCTTCTCCCCCACCAGCAGTGCCACGGATCCCACGTGGCCTCCCAGGAATGAAGACTTTCGAGACCCAAGGTCAACGGCAAGGGCAACGTCTTGCCTGCAGAGCCGCGTGCAGTAACAGAGAAACCTGAGTCGAGGGTCAGTCCCCTACTCCAACAGGGCCTGGCCGCGCTGGCCCCGCAGGCCCCACTGGCCCCAGGGCTACGGGAGAGGGTCCTCTGGCCCCCGGGGGAAGAGAGGCTGGGGAGCAGCCCCCTTTGCAGGAGGGCTTGGGCCACAACAGGCATCCTTCTACTGGGGCAGTGTAGACCCTCACAGAAGACCAAAGCTGGGCAGGGCCTTTAAGGGCACCTAGCAACCAAAATAAAATTACAGCAGCAACAGTAGCAACCTTTATGGGGCTCTCACTACATGCCAGATACTCTTCTAAGCTTCAGACATATTAACTCATTTCATTCCTCGCAACAAATCCGCAAGGCAGCATCGGCTCCCCACTTTACAGAGGGGGAAATCGAGACACACAGAGGCCACACATCCTGCCCAAGGCCACACAGCGAGTGAGGGGCAGAGCCAGGACGCGGGCCAAAGCTGTCCAGCGCCCGGTCTGCAGTCTTAACGACTGGCGCTCCACGGGTCTAGTCCAGCTGCCTTCTTCTCGGAGATGGGCCCCGGGGCCTGGAGAGGAGCAGCGCCGCCCGGGAGGAGCACGGGGAGGAGGTGCAGGCCAGAGTCGCGCCCCCTCCCCCGTGGGGACAAGCACCAAACCCTAAGCCATTCCAGAAAGAGGTCCAGGGACCTCTCCAGGTCTCTGTCTCAGGTGACGAGGAGGTGCTCCTGCTTCCCAAGATGCAAACCCCGGCGGGGACAGAGGAGGTGGCAGGCTGCCTGGGAAGAAGGCGCCCGTCCGCCCACCTGTCCCAAGAGGACAGTGGGGGTGGTGGCAGCCACGCCGCGTGCCCCTGACAGCCAGGCAGCTGCTGCTTCCCTTGGAGGCCTCGCAGCCAGAGGCTTTGTGCTGGCAGGAGATGGGAGGGGTGGGACCGGAGACCCCGCCTGGACAGTCCCCTGGGACATCCTCACCCAGCTCTCAGCCAGGTCACTGCCCTGAGCAACTCCCAGAACCCAGGGCCAAAAGCCATTTTCTCAGGTGGAGAAACCGAGGCCACACAGAGCAAGGGATGCTGGGTAAGCAGCAGGGAGGCGGTTTGGAGGAGCCAGCCGCCTCATGCTGGGAGACCTTTAAAAGGGACCCTGAGTCCTGGAACTGGACCCTGGGAGCCCCAGCGGGACAGCCTGACTCAGACGCTTATATTAGAAACAGACTCCATCGGGCTGGGTTTGGAGAAGGATCGTCCTTTCGTGTGCTGAAGAGTCACCCTCCTGCCCACGCAAGGGGCCTGCTTGCCACAAATCTAAACGCTCCGGGCACCC